TTTATCCATGACAAAGAGCTCTAATTAATATGTTCAAAGTTGTGTGTTTGTTAGATTGGTTGAAATTTTTGAACTATCATCTTCAAGTATGCCCAACATTCTTGTTCTATTGAATTATTCTCACTAAAATAATAACAACTAACCACTTTTTTGTTTGGAAAGTTATCGCTTTTTTACGAATTTTGATCGTACTACGATATTATATACATAAAGTATTTGTATTTGTTATTTATTTCAAAAAGCTTGTAGAACATACATACCTCCTTTAAAATGACCCATGTTCGATTCGCTCTTCCAAAACCTCACTTGTTTTAAAAATACAATATTTTAGATAGTTGGATAAATAGGAGGTCTTTGCTCTTCACAACTTATATTATTACATTCGACAAAACAAGGGGCCTGAAGGTATACCAATACCCAATGAAGAATATATTTATTTATTTTATTATAATTTTTTACTTTTTCGAACACTGTGCGACAGTGAAAACAAAGCTTGAAAGTATGTAAGAAAGCGCTAAGACCGAATGAAACTCGAAGATTTCTTTTACCATATTCCTGCAACTTTTCCGAATTTCAACAATATAACTCACAAATTAAACGATAATATAATTCATAAGTTAACCAATAATAATAACCAATAATATAACTCATATGTCAACCAATAATATAACCCACAAATTAACAAATATTTCCGATAGAAAGTTTTCATTTAGAATTCTGCTGCCCATATTCGGTATCTGTAAGCTTGAATTGTTTGTTTTTCGATTTCGAGATTTTTTGGTCATCAGATGGTTTAACTTGAAAGCACAATATTCTTGCAAAGTTTTATCCCGAGACATTCATTGCTGCCTGATTTATATATGAAAGAATCAAATGGTCTCCAAAATTGTGTTATATGATATAAAAAGTAGGCGGAGGTTTAGTCTTAATTTTGAATTTAGTGATGACAGCGTATAATTTTTCCAATAGTGGCGTTTTGTGGGTGTGGCAAAAATTCGATTCCGCGCATCTTCAACACTAACTCTACCTGGTTGTACCAAGTGTTTTTAAGATATTTTAGATATTATATTATTTATGCATAGACGGACGGACGCATAGTTAATTCGTCATTTTGATCATTTGTATTTGTATAACATATATATCTCGATTAATTGAACAAACTTAAACATTAGTTGAACCTCTTACTTAAATTCTTCCCAAATTGGACTAAATTGTTGAAGAAAACTAGATTAGAACTACGTGCCTTCTTTATGCCATCCTTTGAATACTAAAGTGATATTCTCACAATTCTTTATTAATAAAAGACATTTTCACTAAACTCTTTTGATTGCCATAAGATCTACTTAAGTTTCAATAACATTTCGAAACATTATCATAACTCACTCTACCAACGATAACTCTAACTTATGACTAACTCAAGTCATTACCTGTACGCATGTATACATATGTGAACACAAGGTGCGAATGTTCAGTCCTTTGTGCTCCAAACGATTTACGCTTTTGTACTCGCTCGAGGTACTTAAGCGGCTGAAAAGATTAGCTTTGTGGCAAAGTGAGAAGAATGAGTGAATGCGAGGAAATGCCGCCGCAGCCACTAAGTGAAAGAGTTGTTGCTCTTGTTGTTGCACACGGTTTACTTGCGGTTGCATGTGCGCTTTTGCGGCGACTCTTTGTTCATTTTACACCCGACTTGGTCGCTCACACTCTCTACAACTAAATTTTACAAAAGGCATACGAGTAAATTTATGTTTATACAAATTTAAGTATATAAAAGTGGAAGAAGAAAATGAAATGACTGCGTAATTTCCGCTATTTAGCTGCCACATTTGTGCTTGTGTGAAAGTATATTGCTTACTTATAGGTGTAAGTGGCGCTAGTGGCTGGTGGGTGTGGAAGTAATGAGCTTTCTTAGTTTTCTGCCTTTATATCGAGGTGGTCGTTAGAAATATAATACAGTGACGGAAAAAAGCAATGTGGCATGAAGCGAATTTTCTCAAGATCACGGGAGATTTCTACGTCTAAAGAAAGTAAGCCAAGTATATTTTAAAATTGTCAGCATGAAGCAATGCAGAAAATTCATAACCTCTTAAAATGAACCGGTCGAAGAAAGCGAGATTTTATATAGTTAGCTTAAAATAAGTTAGGTCGTAGGATTGATCCAAAAATCAATGGATCTCACTTGGGCAGTCAAAATTCGATTTTTGTGTTCCCGAAAACTCCTAAAAGTAGATCACCAGACCCTCCTCATAGAACGACGTAGAGTTTTAAGCTCACCTTCAATTTATTACCTACCAATCCTACCAATTTCGTTAAGTTCGCCAAAAGTTTTTATACCGCGGTATTTCAATCGCAGTTAGACAAAAGTTGCGCAATAAGCAGAAGTTTCTCGTAGTCAAAAAAAATTCGGGTTGTTGATTAGCGCTTGCTGATTTCACTGGAAGGCCATAGGTCCAACGCATATCGGTAAATCGATAAAAAATTTACTAAATGGTCTGAAAGAAGCTGCACTTCGAAGCTGGATGTCCTTGATGACAGCAACTTCCACTAGACCTGCTAGCTTAAAACAAGAGTTGATATCAAGCTTCCCACAGACGACTCTAAAACTCACTTTCCCTCTTAACTGCCAAAAGTGAAAAATCTCACCGTACCACTTTTCACGGCATCGTCCCGCTCACAAATCCATCCAAGGTGTGTTAGCTGAGATGGGGCCACCAGATTCCACCATACAGTGATTTAGAATATAAGAAGCATAATCAAATTAGTGGATGATTTTTGTGTGTCCCTGCAGTGGGCCATCGATGGACCAAGATAGCGGGGGAAATCTGTAAACCAAAAATCTTTTTAAGGTAGCCCCTGAATGGGTAATCCTACATATTTTCCAAACCGCTGAAGCTAACTTAACCAAACTTGCTGCACCGTTTTCCGATACACCAAAAATGTGAACCACGGCTGATTTTTTACCGACTATTTCAGTCAATCTGTCGGGTACAGTATTGAAGCTCGAAGAGAATGCTTATTTATTAAAAAGATAAAACCGGTTCAATACTTCCCTTAGCCTCCATATAGCTACTAACGAGTGATCCAAGTAGAGATACTTTTTTCAATAGCCTTTTTTTTGAAAGAGCACGCGTGAAATTTTTACAAATAGTCCACATTTCGTCAAATATGATGCCGGTGAGAACGTAACAGTCAATGGCGACAGGACCGCTTCGATTTAGGTCTTGGACAACCAAACATGTGTGTCATTCGACAGTTACCTGTCGAAATGGTCGAACAAGTCATTGAAAATTGGGCTGAACGGTTGGACCATTTGAGTTCGTCCACGGCCAATATTTGAAAGATGTAATTTTGAAAAGATAAATGCCAAAGAGTTTTCTTTCAAATGATAGTAAACATTTCCCTATAAGTTGGTAGTTTTGTGTTTTTTCTTCAAAAAAGTAGAGAAACTCAAAATGAATGACCCTTTATAAATGTTTTCGAACTTCCGTTGACTTTGTATTGCATCTATCATTGAATATGTGAGAAATCTTAATTAAATGCAGAATGAACTTCTTCTAGTAACACTACATGTGCTTGGCTGAAATTAATGAAATCGCGGCAATACATTCCCACATAAAGTGTTACCAACAACTTCCAAGGAACAATTGCAATTTTTTGTCTCTATTAAATAGTATTTTAAAGATTTCTAAACCCTCCAAAATTACACCTTTTATATTTTTTATGAAGAGTTAAGCCACTAAGATCAATAGTATATTTTCCAAGCACTCGAGTTTAAGTACATTAAGTCCCCTAATGATGTACGCGCACTCAATTGCGTTAATCTGTTACTCATACGACATGGCGCACTCATTTCCTCCATATACAATATATTTTTTATTTATGCGCTAATACGATTTTCGCGTACGCTGACGCTGCTCACTCCCTTATCGTTTACGTGCGCACATGAAAAAAAGAAAGCAACAAATAATCACGCATTTGTTATGTGTCTTGAGTGTGCCAACAATATCCGCACGCCGTACCCAAATGACTACAGCAACACCGGATACAACGCATTGCTCTTCGCACAACACAATTCAAACCAAGATCGACAACTACAACAAATTTAACAACAACGAAAGCTGAATAATCGACAATGCCTTGGCAAGGGAACAAACCTCAGCCAAGGGGAAGGAGAGTGGAAGGAGAGTTGGCGCATCTAATGTGCAGCTAAACTGCGCAAATTCGCTGACGTCCTCATTGTTTCTGTTGCGCGACACTAAATGTCTTAGCGGTGACACGGCGGTGTGACTTTTTATGATAAAAATGACTGTATGTCACCGCAAACACACACACACACACTCATATACAAATTGTTGAAATTTTATGGAAATTTGAAACTTGTCGCAAGTATTCGGCTTGCCTCAAGCGACTGAGTAAAATAACTGTAAATATGAGTAGTTGGCGGGTTAAGGTTTTTCTCTTTGGCCATGGTGAGATGGCATGATAGGAGGAATGAGCTGAGACGGATGCGGATCTGGTGTGCTTTTGGTATATATGTTGGCCTTGCTATCGCTTGACGTACTTGCGAGAGCGTCGCCTGGGGGATGGTAAGCGTTTTGGCTCTCATCGGGTCGCACGAATGCTTAGCATCCAAATAGCGGTAATTAAGTTAAACGCATTGCGCAAATAAAATAAACTAGCCAAATGAATGAATAAAAATGAACAAGCCAAGCTGGGCGACAGCAAAATATCTGGAACCAGTGAAAATAAGGTCAAACTTAGGCAGCTAGAGCTCGTCGGTTCAACTACTCTCGCTATTGCATTGCTCAGCGACTTTGCGTAAATTAATTACATAACTGAGTGTTCGCATTGAATTGGCAGCGACAAACTGTCATCACTTGTTCAAACCGAAAGTTTCGCTTTGATGCACTCAGCGTCAATTTAAACTTTTTTTGAGTTGCAAATATAAATGAAGGCATTGAAATGAAAAATTATTTATCTCCGCTTTTGTTTACTTGCAGACAACAACTTGTGTCGTGGTCGCTGCAGCTACTGAAGATAGGTGAGTGCAAAGTAAACAGTTTAAGCATACAATATACCTACTTTAATAACGGTATTCCGCCAGCAATTAATGCGAAAATAATTAAACTTTATGAAAGTACCGTTTGATTGGTCGCTCGTTGTGCGGCGCCGGTTGTTGGTGCTGCTTTTGTTGCACGCAAAAATCGCTACACTGACTTCGCGTCGAAGTTACAATAACAACTCGAAAAAAAGTGTTATTTGCCTTAAGTGGCGCACATAAATAGCGTGCATGAGCGAAATCACCTCTTGCCGCAAGCATTTCATATTCATTGGCATATTTATTTATACATTCAAGGCGGCATACATTGCAACATTTGCGTTGATGATGCGACAAGCATTAAGGTGCCACAAATTGCTAAGCATAGCTGAAAACTGTTCAATTAAGAGCAAAGACGCGTTATAGCATTTTCAATTATTTCCAAATACTAAACTTGCTTTGTCTGGCATACTAGCTATAACACACAGCACAGAAGCTATAACACCCCACACGAGAGCATTTTTTACACCATGAAATGGTATAAAAACATCTTTGTCTTGATACCCATATGGCAGGTTGTATGACAGCTATATATTGTAGTACTCTGATCAGCACAATTTCTTCGCGCATAGTAGCGCTTCCTGAGTTTATGATCCGTGCCAAGTTTGGTGTTGATATCTCGTCAAATAAAAAAGTTGTCCATATAAGAACTTGATTTTGATCGTTCAGTTTATATGACAGTCATAAGATGTATTTGTCCGATAACAACAATCCTAACAAATTAGTAGCTTCTTGCGAAGAAAAAGACGTGTGCCAAATGTCAGACCGGTGTCTCTTAAGCCAAGGGACTAGCTTGCGTATACTGGTATGCATGTGGAGACGGACCGACGCACGGACTCTATAAGATCTCCAAAGTTTCCTTGTGCGTGCTACAAGCATAGCGGCAAACTTTACATATCCTGTTCGGGTTAAAAAAATTAAGAAAACGACCGAGCGAGATCATTGCGCTTTTGCTATTGTTCATATTATGGTTATGTAGGCTCAACTCTTGTGAGAGGAGGTCATCTTATTTTAAAACCTATTAAATTTCTTCTGTTGTTGTTGTCGTAGCAGCATAAAACATTTCTGAAATAATTTCGAGGTATGATTTCTAGTTAACATTCCTCATCCATTTAAAAATTCAATTCCGTTCCGGCTAATTAGCCCCGACTGTCGTGTGAACGGAGAATATATTATGTCTACCACATGTGTTTGACTTTAAGACATTTTTATCTCCAACATTAACGAATGCTTCTTCATACAATTCAACAAAAAGCGTGCTACTTTAGCGACTAGAATATCTTAATTGGGCATCTCGATTCCCTTCGACGTTTTCCAACTCTCGGTTCTCCACTTGATTCTACTATCCTCAAGCAGTAGCTCGAGAGCGGAATAATTCAATTTTTGCTGCTAAGGATCACCTTGAACTTCTTAATAACGTTTACCCTTTTTGTAATGACGTCCGTTGGGCGAAGAGCCACTTAAACCCTTCATACGCTGTGTCATTATTGGAGCGATTACTACGTGAAGCGGTGTGAGTTCTATCATAACTTCAAGTGACGTCGACGAGCATATGCGCATGACACGCAGATAGTTGAAGATCTCTGCGATGTTTTTGAGGTCTAACCCCCCGCCCCATATGTTATAATCGGTTGCACGATCATGGTGTACAACCACCTGACAATCCTTCTCTTACAGTCTAAGAATTTACCAACTAGTCTATTGCTCACCATAAGTGCGTTAGGAGCTTTGGAAAATGCTTCAGGTCAACATGCTTCTTCCAGCGTAGAGTGGCATCCAGCGTGAGACCAAGGTATTTGACGACATTAGTCATCTCTATCTTTGTGTCCCCAAGCGTTAGGTTCCGGAGGAAGGGCCCTGCGTCTTCTAAACGGGATGAGAGTCGTCTTCGCTAGGTCAATGTTCAGCCCAACTTCACTGCACTACCCTTAGCCAGGCCTAGTCCGCTTTGTACAATTCCGCAGAGAGTAATCTCAAAATTTCCTCTAGCTACAATAATAATGTCGACCGCATGTCCTTGAAAGTGGATCCCATTGTTAGTAAGCAAAACGAGTTGTTCATTCACGACGATTTGAGGGAAATAGAAAAAAAATTTTATATTTTTTAGATCTCCTTTAAAAATGTATTCTCGTTTTAATATTCGCCCACCCTAATTTATAAATAAATACAAATTATTATCCACATACCACATAGCCCGTACCATAGCCATAGCTGCAATTATGTTAATGGCTGCTGGTGCGTAAGTATGGAATCTCTCATCAAAAAGCAATTTTGTTAAGCCCTATCGAAGGCACGCTTTTAAGTATATAAATATATATATTATTTTATACATACTTGTACATATATATGTAGGCACTTACATAAATACTTAAATATGTATGGATGCGTATTTATAAATTACAAACATACATATCTGTCTTTCAACCAGAATATAATTATAGGCTTACTGCCTATAGACCATAACCCATGCAGATAAACGGCTAAATAAAAAACAAATTGATTTCTAATATTATGATTTCGAATTGAACCTCGTTATTATGGTATGTAGTAATTAGAAGGAACAAAATAATTGCGATTTGCAGGGAGTTTCCTTTAACGATTATATTTCTGAAGAAAATCCCTTTAGAGACACTTAAAAAGGTGAAGGTTAGGTTAGGTTATATTAATCTGGTAGCCCAATGTATCATACCAAATACAAATTTTTTGATACATTTCTTTTAACAAACGAAATCACTAAGCTCATATTATGCTTAACGTGCTGCTATAGACACAGTAAGCAATGAATAAAGCTGAAAGTTATAACTTTAAGGGTCGAAGGAAAAAAAAATCTGAAAACCAAATTTTTGGCAGACATTTTAGCATGAAAATTTTTGAATAAAAATTTTGCTACACTTTTTTTCAAATAGTTGTAAACGATAAAAATCCTTTGCTCAAGCCTGTAAAAATTGTATCTCAAAGATCTGTGTGAAATTTCATGAAATCTTGCCAACCGACTTCAAAAACACAGTTTTGAGAAATTATTCAGATCGGATTACTATAAGTATTATATAGCTTCCGTACAAAGTGAACACATAGTTACTAAAAGAAATGCAACTATGAAGCGTATATTAGCTTCGGTGCGGCCAAAGTTAACGTTTTTTCTTGTTTCCCTTTAAGAAAAAAAAAAACAATATTTTATCAACACACAAAATTCCCTTTTCACAATTTTTTCACAGTGACAAAAGTTGTTTCTAAGAAAATAATATTATTCTCTAACTAGTGATCCGATAGCTGGCAAGTTTCTAGGCGCCCCTTTCGATGGTTAGAGCTATCTAAAAATTCTATGGATTTAATTCTACTAGCATCATCTTCATGTCAGATCGGGGACTTCTCAGTTCACCTGTTACACTTAACTGGTCAGGAAAGTATATGTTTGAATATGGCATAGTCTGATTAGTACCAAACACAAATGAAGGGGTTTTAAATGCCTAAGAGCATGCAGCAACTTGGTAAGAATATTAAGAAATGATAAATGATTTTCAAACTTGAACTACAAAACTGAAAATATCCGAAATCTTTATATTGCAACGAAAAAAAAAAATATATTCTATGAAACACTTTATTTTTATAGCAGTTTTTAGGAAAGAATATATTAATACAAAAACGAAAAAAAATAAAAAATTAAAAATATCTCGCAACCATTCGTAATTCACCAAATCTTGTTTTTTCCGGTACACATATATAGTTCATGCGATTTTCATGAGCCATTTATTGCACGCATTGCCCTTTTTACACGCTTTTAATTCATATTTATATATTTATGTCTGCACCTATGACTTTTTTGTTATTGTTTTATTGTGTATATTTTGCTTTATAACGGCTGCACGTGATTCCATGAATTAAATGTGTTCTCAATGTATTTTTATGGCCACGCCACAGATACGACATGCATACATACCAACTTATAGTGTTGCTGCAACGGTGTGGATTTCATGGCTTTGTTGCTAATACTGTTTTTGTATTCGGCGATGTTTTGTCAACATCAGCAACGCCGAATACATTTTTTCGTAAACGTTCTTTTTTCTAAATAACGTCAGCGATATATGCCTTGTTGTTATTGCTTTTGTTTTAGTCCCTCCGGCAATTTAGCATTTAAGCGTACAACAACAATGCCGCGGCGTAGTGAATAAAAAGTGCATGATAACAGCTTAAAGTCAGACGACAACTGTAAAAACAGCAATCAGAAAACAACAACAAACATACTGCATATTTACAACAACAGCATGCAGCTACGTTCACTGTGGCAGCTACAGTATATAATGGTCAGCAACAACATAACTGATGGCTGGGATTTTTCGTCGCACACGTGACTTGAATTAGAACAGCCGGCGAGTAGTCGCGACCATGGTCAGCTAAAAGCCAAATTCATTCTGTTTCTATCGTTTTTTTTTCGCGTTTTGTTTTTGCTATTCCGTTGATTTTCATCATAAAGTGGCACGATGCGCACAGCGTTGCATTGTGGCATAAAGTATATTGAAGTCACTGGCAAAAACGCTGCCATAAATGAATTTAGGCTACCGAATAAAGGTCACTTTTTCACACTGGCTTTTTGGTTGTTGGAAAGTGGAAGAAGCTTGTGTTGTTGTTGTATAAGAACGGCGAGGCAAAGGCTTTATGCGCGTGCTATATTACTGGTATTGCGTGTGAATTTCTGTTTGACGGCGTTTCATGCTGCACTGTTTGCTGGTTTTTCATATTTCTCAGATTATATGTGTTGAAAAAGTTGTGTGTCGTGTTTGAGCAATTAAGAATTTGTTTTCGCGCGACAAGAAGATCTAGTTCTTGATAGTGAAAAAGTTTTTTTTTTCTCACAAGTTTACCAAATAATGATTCTGTCGATCTAGCTTGCTGAATATTAAAAACAATTCGCTCTACGGAGTCCATCACCGCTTTTGATGTCTTTA